GGTTTGCTTCATGACTAGAACTTCAACTAATTCATCCTAACACTGATTCCTTTGATGCACTAAGATTAGAATATTCTGTTAGTCCAAAAATAATACTAACGTGAACAGAAATAAATCCAAATTGATTTATTTAAACGCAAAGTCTTTTCCAAACTATCAAATTTGACGGAATTAAATAAAAACCCGAATTTGATTAACGGAAATTGAGTAAGGATAATGGAAAAAGTTTCGGGTTGTCACATAAGTGAACTAATCTCTCATATGCAGCTACATTATGTTGTAATGTGTCTTCTAGTTCTTGTTTCCATTTAGCCACTTCTGCTTCCGCCTTTTCCCTCCCTAAAAGAATAAAAAGAATGTGTGTAAGTTGAAGGATGAAGAAAATATGGAAATTAAATATAAATGAAATAAAGAAATTACAAGAGTTACCTGCTATGGCTTCTTGTGTTGTTTTCAAATGTTCAGCCATGAGTTCATCTTTTGTATTACACTCACACACAAGACAAGCTACCTCTTCATGGAGGTTTTTCACAGTTTCTTCTAAAGCTGCCTTTTTATCATAGAGAAGATTCTTTATATAGAAGCAAAACATCCATAAAAATCATTTCTTTTACTATTTTGACTTTTGAGACGATTAACTACAAGAAATTCTTAATCTACCTCTTCTTCATTTCCTTTTACAAAAATTTTAGCTTCACTGTTGACAGCAACCAATCTTTTCCTATGAAGCAATGTTTTTTGGTCCATATTTTGGTCTGACCAACAGTCAACACACGAAAAATAAGCATAAACAAATGAAAGTAACATAGTAATGGTATCACAGTTGCATATATATCTCAAACTAGAGGTAATGAAGTTGGATATCAAAGTGATCTTTCAGGTACTGATCCGGTACAACTGCTGTACACTAAGAACATGTGGACCATAATTAAATATATGTACAACTCGATGGTATAATAAATTACATAATATTTATTGTTATTGTAAACTAATAAAAACATAACATGCCTCACTGGGCAGAGGTCATGACTTATTGCATCCTGTGTTTTCTTTGGCTTTTGATGTATAACCTGAATGGGATTATAACTGATTAAAATAAAATCTTTACAACCAGAAAGATTAATTTTTATATAATAAAAGAAACATTACCAGTGTTTTCTTTGGCTTTTGTTACATGAGAGAGAAACCCTAGAAAGAAAGTGGATTACTAAATATTAATCACCTGCTCATAAGGAAGCAGAGCTCTAAACACAACCACATAATTAGATAAAATAAACCTAAAGATTAAAAGAGAAAAACACAAATATATTAGGTCAGTTGGAATGTTGGATCTTCAATAAAGATGAATCGAACAGTGTAATAGTTAAAAGAACCTTATTTTGCATGTCTAATTTACTATAACCAACATTAGGGCAAATTATAGAAAAATGAGCAACAAAGAGGGTAAGTTATTGTGTATCGATGATGAAAGACAATAGAGTATGATGAAAGAAGGGATTGAAAAATTATGAGTACTGTTTGAAGGGTCTTCAGGTGAACACCTTCATCTGCCATCTCACCATGCTGGAAAACAGCAAAAATTATAGATGTAAAACTATAAAATGGAACTCTTTACTCTTTAGAAAAATTAAAAACTTGACTAAAAAAATATATATATAAAACATGAATAAATAAATCTCACCTGATCCAAGAACACATCTAATGCAATAACAGGGCTAACCCCAGGAGGGTACCTTGGTAATATGGTGTAGCTGAAATAGTAAGAGCCTTAGCCACTAGGAATCCTACAGGGGTCTGTATCCCTAAAATAGCAGCACCCATTCCCACAAGGTTCATGTCTAATTGTGAGTTACCAGAGAAGATTTTTACTCCCGCTGGAATGCACATCACCTCTATAGTGTTATTCAAAAAACACATATACCTCAACAAATGATAACCCTTGCAATATCTTTGACTCGTATGGTCCAAAATACCCCTGACTTCTCATCACTTTAGTTATTGGGTTTCATATCATGATAAAATTCCAGAAACCCTATCTCTCTTTTCCAAAATCATAGATTACAAATACATATTACTGAAGATGAACTGAAGATGGCGGAGATTTTGCCCTAAATCAACGGTGTTAGAGGAAAAAACAGAGGAAAAGGTAGCGAGTGTGGATGGAGAGAATGTAGATGAACGATTATAAGCACATCATACCTTTATTAAACCGAAAGACAAGAATCGGACAAGCTTCTTATTCAGTCGAACCTAGGGCTTGTAAGGTGAAGGGATTTTCGTCCAATGGAAGGTGGTGCACTTGAGTCACCTACCGGAAGATCAAGGTCACAAGCCACAACAACACAATCACCCAGCGGATATGAGTCGCAGAAGCGCCGTGACTGGAACACGTTCTGGATATGATCATCTATAGGAAGTTGAGGGACCAAAAGATCATGATTTAATTGCATCGTAGTCAGCAAAGAGAGCCCGTCTAGAGCAAGGCCATTCAATCGGGGCAAAGAATATTTATTGGTGTCGTCACCGCTGGCGGTGGATCTTGATTTCCCGTAGTTTTCGATGGCGTGAATGTGGTCTGGGGTTTGAACATACCCATCGTCCCAATATTTCTTTGTCTTAATGAAGACGAAGGCCCTAGGGCTTTTTCTTGCTAATTGGAAGAGGCAGGGGGTTTAATTTTTAGGTTCCAATAGGCGGGTGAAATCCCGCCTTAAAACGCGTGTTTCACTAAAAAATTATAAAGCGACAAACTTAGATGACACACATTTTATGAAAGGCGCCCTCTGCATTTCCTTTTTTTTTTTCTTTTCTGACACTAATTTTAGGGCATGCACAAATGTGTGTCCTCTATCAGCGCCTCTCATTGTTTGCGCGTCATTAAAGGGCTGTTTTCTAGTAGTGTTCTAAAAAATGTAAACAAAGACCTATTTCATAGTACACGTGTATATACAATATATATATATA